TGCAAAGAGAGTCTGGAGTCGTTAAATACTACGGGAGTGACGAACTATGTGTTCTTATCTCTACTGTAACATAAGTGTACATATACAAATGTATATGTGCACGTATACAAAATCGGTCCTTTTCCGAGCCATTAAGGTCAAGTTCCACAACATCCGTTTAATTTTAACTACCAGTTAAGTTCCAATAGTGATTGGTTAATTCTGATTAACTCTTCTTAATGTCAAATGCGATTGGTCAAGTCTAATGGAATAACTAGCCAGTTAAGTTAACTGGAGGTTGTGGAACTGAGCCTAAGATATACAAATCCGACCGAGCAGTTTCTTCGCGGTATACATCGGGTAATGCAAATATTGTCGATATGACAACTTTAAAGTTTCATATCATAGGGATGACGTGTTTCAAGATAATAACATATAGTATGGTTAAACTCTTGGAATGAAATATCAATAACTGGAGTTCAAAATATCACGTGCTATTTAGAAAAATCGAGTTGGATAAGTATATGCTGAAATATGAAATGAAGAAGTAACAATGACATTATAATTAGTTTGCCCTTTATATATCTCACAACTTTCATTTAAACAATTATTTTCTAACGTCTACCGTTTATGGTTAAATTATTCAGGTGTACAATCTTATTTCGGACATACTGTATGTTGATAAAGGCACACACATATACGCTACTAGAAAAATTATAGTAACGAGAGTTTTCTGTATTTTTTACATGTTTTTCGTATTGTTACGTATTGGTTATAGATTACTTCACTATTCTATTTGTAAAAAGACGTCTAAGAGACGTCAAAGGAAAATGCAATATATTGTCAATATTGTTAAATCTTTACAAATTAGCTTATATACTTTAATCGCTATCAGAGAAATTATGTACTTTAAATATTAATTTCTCGAAAGTTAAACAATTAAATAATTTTGTAATTATTTTATATGTCTAAAATTCTCTATTGTTATTGGTTATCGTTTCCTAGTTTTTCATCAATAGTGTGAGAGTAGTTTGATCGCTAGAATTAAATATGTGCAGACACTGTTTTCGTATCTGCGATAAACGTAAGTAGTGTTAACTTTAATCACAATTATTTCAGTTTCGATATAGTCATTCTTTTCCTAATTGGCCATAGTTATGTAAAAATGATTCAATCTATCCAATAAGCAAAATATTAGTATTATGCCGGTAGATTGATAACAAATTTAATAAGAAACTATTAAAATAGCATAACTATTAACATTATTAAAAAGTAGTGCAACTAGTAAAAAATAAAAACTGTAACTAATAATTTTTAATTCATTCTCGATGAATCTTTCCTGTTTTATGTAGAAAAATATATAGACTATATATTGGAAAAATAAAAACTTAAAAATCATAATTTTACGATTTCGATCATTTTTATATAATTATGGCCCAATTGTATGTATATATATCATGTTTCTATTAATATGCTGTCAAAATTTTAAAATATTACTAAGAAAACGAGTTTACTGACCAACCAACCAGATAGCACAACAAATTTTTAAAATATTCCTGAAGTTTTCTCCTTTCCTTAATTATAGTTCTTCGTAGAAGAATACTATAAAAATAATTTAAGAAGTTACCTGCACCACGATTGGAATACCTGAGAACTTCTTGAAATATTCATATAGACAAATGCTTGAGAACAGAGAAAGGACTATAAAATACTCAATAAATATCATCTAACAGCAACATTACATTAATATTATAATTTTCCACTTATATGTAAATATTGAAATAGTCTAAAAATACTAATATTTAATTAAAAAAAAAAAAAAAAA